CTGCTCAAAACTCCACGTCCTATATTCAAGAATCCTACCAATCAGGCAGTTGCTGTATCGTCTTTCCCAAATGGCGCCCCGTCCCCTCCTAAGGTTATTAAAAAAGTATATTCTTCCCCAAACCAGGTTAGGGTATAACCACTTTTGCCAGACAAGTAAAACTCTGCAAGACGTAGGAGCAGCTCCTTCAAGCTACGATAACAACCGCATACTTTATCATCTTCATCAAGATCATCACAAAGAGTATCGTACACACTGTAAATATTACCTACATTTGCCGATTTAATAAATGGCATAAGCTTGTCATATGGTACAAGCCTTGGCATGGGGCATTTATGGATGGAAAGACGGACACGACCCTTACTGCTATTACTTGTCTTATAACAACTATTTCGGTATATTTTTCGATATTTCTTTTTACCAGCTATGCCTCCACAATAATAGACACTAACGCTTCTGATCATATTCTCTTCTGAAGACTCATATGCTTTTAAATTTCCTTTGTATATAGACGGCATAACATGCTTGGTGAATTTTTTGTTGGCAGACATTACATCGACTAATACATTTGAACTACATTTGTTTAAGGCAGTGTCTACTAAACCTACAGCTCCTGGTACTGAACTTTCCCTGCTACCTCCATGGATTTCCTGGGCAACCATAAAGGTTTCCTTCCTTCTCTTCCTTGCATTAGGTGTTGTTAGTGTAATTTTACCATTCTCAAAACCAGTGGGATTGTCCTTTCTACTCTGCAGTGCCTTTTCAGACAATTGACTAGCTCGACTCTTTTTATCAGGTTGTCTCAGCTCTTGCTTAATATCTTCAAGGTCTTCTATCTGACTAACTATGTTCTCTACCTATCACAAACAACAGTTTAGAGTAAGGAAATATTTTGATAAGTACTGTATATACTATATAGTTAATTTCTACAGGGTACACACTTTTAAATTAAGGTTTGAAATGCCAATAACAGGGGCACGTTTTATTCTTACTATGACTTAATTTACATGTGAAAATTACTATCATACCTTTGCATCGAGATTTCTAAGCTTTTCGTCCATTGCATGCGATTGTTTTCTTTTCTTAGCCAGCACGATTTCACGTTCTACAATTTCCGTTTCGATCTGTATAATTTGGCGACTGCTTTGTACCTTTTGCTCGAGTTTTTTCTCCTCCATCTGCTTTCTCTTTCTCCTGTATTTGCCAATATTAAATCGCGGCATATTGAGGCCGTGTAACCGTAGGTCCTTTATCAAATCGTGCGAATAAACAAGATTCCAAATGAAATCCACCAAACAAAAAACAACACCTTATACATGAAAGTTCACGTTATTCACAACAGGTAAAGTTCCTTTCAAACAGGCAGTGGTGTCCAAAATAAAACAAGGGTGAAAATCCCATCTCTACAATCCAAAGTGACAACAACAAAACTTCGCAATGTTTACTCGCTCACGATACAAAAACAGATTTGTAAACCTATACACATTTGGTGTCAAAATGAAGCTCTAGTCAAGCTACGTTAAATACACGTAACCGATTTCAAGACGGTTTTAACCGATCGCTGTACGACGACGCGGAAAAGTAGCTCGGTCGACTATCGTAATTTCGTACTCAGGTTCAATTATTGATATTCGGCAACATGGCGGAACATGCACGAACGCGCGTGGATTTTTCCCGCATTTTATGGCCGGCGTGATTGAAGTTGGATATTGAGTCCAAAATTTGAAATAGCAGAGCAGCTACATGTTTACAGCAACGGAACCACCTGTACAAGCGCAACTTGCACAAGATATTTAACCAGTGTTTTAGGCCTACAGTAGGTGAACATAGATTCCATAGTGTGCCCTTTTTCATGGAGGCATACACAACACTTTTAATTAATTAAACAGGAAAGATGTTTCTGTGCCTTTCAAAACATTAATAGCCTTAACTACAACATGGGTAACCATTTTATCTTTGAACAGTTGATAGCCATATTTTTATGCTTGTGAGCATGTGCATGGTCCAAGTTTACTGAGTAGTCAGTTATCAAATGTTCCTTCAATAATGCATGCATGGGTATTAAAATACCACTGAGGTTAGAGTCCACTGTATTCCTTACTCCATATTTACAAACAGCAAACCAAACGGCTCGAAACTTTTCAAAATATACTCGAAACAATCGAGCTTTAAATTTTACTCGCGTAAATATGTTGTAGTTAAAAACTCCAATAAGACACTTGAATAGCAGTGAATAGTACTTAAAAGTACTTTATAAATCTTTGAAAACCTTTGAAATCTGAAATCTCGGTATTTCAAAGAGTAACTGTTTTGATTTTTCGCGCCAAACAACCTCAATGTTTTGTGGTTGTGAAACGGTTGATCAAACATGTGTTGTTTTGAGGCGGTCAAGTGTGCAAACATTTTTGTCTCTCGAGTCGCTAGAATTAAACCGATCGTTGAAATTTTTAGGGAAACAATAAGTCACAACGTGTTGCTTACCTATAAAATAATTTAGTGCGGTACTCACCTTTATATTGTGAAATATTCAAAATTTGTTCCTTACTACTACGAATCGAACTCCTTCCCCACTTCAGTGACTTTGTACGCCATGTTGAATATTTCAACCACAATCGCTCGTAGAAGTCCAAGACGCAGTAGAAATATGAAACAAGTCGTACAGATTTGGTCAAAACTTTAATCAAAGCAAAACTGATAAAAGTTTTCTTGCAATTCTCATGTGTTTAGCACCTTTCCTCGTTCGAAAAGTGTAAGCGCCATGTTGAAAAATTCTGCTGTGTAACTAAACTACAATGATGCTTAGCAATTCCGCAATTGGCACATCACCATGAGCAGACACATGTACGCTTAGAGTACCTATTTTTTATAATCAGTTTGTGATTTCGAAGTTACAATATTTCACTCGATATTTCGAACCGATGAAGCTTTATTAATCGTGAATAAGCCAAGATGAAACATCAGGTATTATTGCGTAATATCCAGGTAAGAATCTTGTTATGTTTTATGTATAATAGAGCAATTTTGAATGGAAATATTTGCTATCTTCATTCGTGAATTTTGAGAATGCACCTGTTTGATGACCTTTGATGTTTCGGTTTAAAATTTGAATTTGCCGCGACAATTTTAGTCTTGCTCCAGGTCTCTCTTTAATTCCATTTACTCTGTTCTCATGTAGTATCGATCCACTATAGTGTACATTACATGACGTAGTACGGAGGGGAGGAGCGAGAAAGAGAGACTTGTCAACTTCGGAAAATCTCGGTTCAAAACTGAACGGAAAAGGCAAGACTTGCTTTAATTGTTTTCCTTCAATTTCTTTCTGTATTATTTACTATTATGGAACTCGTGGTATTTACACTGTGCTAGATCAATACATATACACTCTGAAGGAAAACAATTAAAGTAAGTCTTGCATTTTCGGTTCAGTTTTGAACCGGGATTTTCCGAAGTTAACAAGTCTCTCCAGGGACGCCGGAACGATGTGAAGACAAGGGGGGCAGATTTTCGTTAAAGGGCACTTTTGAATTGATATATACTGAGAGATGTTTGTAAGTTGGGAGTTGAATTTCGCCTAATCATGTTTTCTATTTATTGGATGATAGGGGTGTGAGGGGGTTCTCCGCCAGCCGATTGCGCTATTCTTGAAGCTCGATGACTACATTTCTTGCGTTTTCTGAAGCAAATTCGTAAAAGAATTGCACTAACATTTCTGACAATTCGCTATTTCGCCAAGGCAATCCTTTAAATTGAAAGGGCACTTTTTCCCCCTGCCCCTCCTGGTAAAGGGCAACGGGGGCGGCTTCCCCTCCTCCCCCCCCAGTTCCGGCGTCCCTGAGTATCTCTTTCTCGCTCAGCCTCTCTGTGCCACGTCATGTAATGTATACTATAGTGGATAGATACTATACGACAATGACACAGAGACTTGGAGCAAGTCTACGACAATTTCGAAGTATAAGTTACAATATTTCGCTCGATATTTCGAGCCGATGAAGCCTTAATAAGCGAAGATGAAACATTAGTGATGACTGAATAATACCCAGCTAAGAATCTTGTTATGTTTTATGTATAATAGAGCAATTTTGAAAGGAAATATTTTCTACTTCAATCTTCATTCGTGAATTTTGAGAATGCACGTGCTTGATGTTTCGGTTTAAAATTTAAATTTGCGCGACAATATTTAAAATGGTGATATA